TGCGTGTCAGGCAGTGGCTAGTTTCTGCTCCGATAATTTGAGGAGTGGGTGGTTCGGCGCAGCGTTCACGCTCGCGTCTGCTCGAATGATTCCACTGTGTTACAGTTCCGGGACAGAAAGCCGAGCTGCACGGGTACATGATGGAATATAACAGTAATAATACAAAATATATATTCTCTGAATGACCTAGAAAAGTTTGAAGGGCATGGGAACTGATATTTGGAGTGCCTCAAGGAGACAGTTTGTAAGATAGGAGGCAGATGGAAGTGACTCAGGATCATGTCCAATGCTGTGCTTTGGTATTAGGCGTGTTAAATTTTGAGTTCTGACATCACAGTATCAGTTAGTTATTTTATTAACTTATTAGTTATAATTTGAATTAGAAAATCAACATTTACTTCTATATTTGTATGACCGCCTCTGTGGTCAGAATTCCTGACTACAAATCCAGAGGTCCCGATTTCGTTTTTCGGCGCTACCAGATTTTCTGAGAACGGGGTCCACTCAGCCTCATGAGGATAATTGAGGAGCTGCATGAATGAAAACGTAGCGCCTCCGGTCCAGAAAACCGAGATTAATGGCCGTCGGGATCCGTTGCGCTGACCACGTGACCACCAACTGAAGAAGAAGCCAGGGTCCAACGAAGGGCTAGAGAGCCATCAGTCACTCACTCATGGAGCTGAGCCCTTCTTGAGAAGCCGCCAATTGTGCAGCTACTCCAGAATTTCCAAGAATTTTATGGAACCCGAATGTTCGTTACCAGGGCCCGGATTTTGATGACATGTTATCTTTTTTTCCTTGTATCCTATGCGATGCTCTTAAATATATAAATCTCGGATATGAGCTGCTGGTTACAGAAATGTAAATTTTTATAGGTAATGTTTGTCATTTTTTGACATTTTTAGGTTTAAGGTCATTTTTTCATTTTTGGGGTAATTTTTGGACTTTTAAGGGCATTTCTTGTCATTTTTGGTAATTTTAGGGAATTTTTCTTCATATGTTTTCTGAAATGTGAATAACATGGAAGCGAAGTGTTCTTTATTTTCTCCTTTAGGTCATTTTTCTGGATTTTTTTTCGGTCATTTTTTTAATATTTTCAGGTCATCAAAATCCGGGCCCTGCATATTATATTTTTGGGTCATATTTTAGGTCATTTTTCTGGATTTCTTCGGTCATTTTATAGGTCATTTTTTAAATATGTTCAGGTCATCAAAATCCGGGCCCTGTTCATTACCGTGTTCACAAGAGCCCCACTGGTCCTCTATCCTGAACCAGATCAATCTAATCCATACCACCTCATCCTATCTCTCTAAGATACACTTTAATATTGTTCATCCACCAACGCCTTGGTCTTCCCAGTAGTCTCTTTCCTTCTGGCTTTCCCACCAATATCCTACATGCATTCCTCTTCTCCCCAGTCGTGCTACATGCCTTGCCCACCTCACCCTTCTTGACTTGATCATTCTAATTATACTTGGAGAAGAGTACAAGTTATGAAGCTCCTCATTATGCAGTTTTCTCCAGCATCCTGTCACTTCATCTCTCTTCAGTCAAATTATTCCCCTCAACACTCAGTTCTCAAACAGAGCCACTGATGAATGAATTAAAACCTTCTCGGAACTTATTACTTATAACTGGAGTGTAACGTTGGTTGCCTATGTAGACCTTAGTGTGTGGGGTAGAAAGACAAATGATGACAGCTACTAACCAGGCAGTAATATAATCCTTTGCCGGAACCACTCGATCGATCAATCAATCAGTCAGTCGATAAATTTGCCAACCGACTGACCGCACAAGTCAGTGCCACCATACAAACACTGAGTAAATGCCCTCAGTTTGTTTCTGAATTCGCCCGGTCGGTTGGGGAGGGTAAGGGGGGGGGCGGATAGCGCAGAACTAATGCATGTCGCGTGGTTACACTGGGAACTTAAAATTCCGTTTTTCATCGTCTTTCTCAGTTTTTGTCTTACTTTCCTCATTTTGAAAAAAATAAAATGTGGCTTATGATATCGCCTTGCTGCTCTTGTCATGTGCCAGCCGTATTCATGGATAGACGCAGGAACATGGAGCATGGTACGGAGCAGGTCTACCCGTACTGGCAGATATTTCTGGATACTGTTAGATAAATACTGATTAAATACATGACATCTATCTACCGTTCGTTGCTGTCATATCACCAGCATTTGCATCGTTCTAGCACAACTCGGCCGTATCACTAATACTTTCTTTTTATTGCTAGTGGGGTGGGACTAAGTCCCTTGTACTGCGGCCACTTCTGGCCTATTGTACCAGCCACAGATGATAGGTGAGGGTGATTGTGACGCAGTTGGTGGAATGAAGATTGGCAGGGGAAACCGAAGTACTCTGAGAAAACCTGCCCCTGCGCCACTTTGTCCACCACAAATCCCACTTGACCAGACCCGGGATCGAACTCTTTTCCGATCCAAGGATTTGTAAATTGGCATAATGATGTGAATGTACTGAGAGACAACAGACACCATAAAGAAAACACAGAAACATTAATTGACGCTAACAAGGGGGTTGGTCTAGAAACAAACACAGAGAAAACTAAGTACTCGTATGNGTTCGTAAAATAATTATGATTTTCTGTTGCAGTGGGTTATCTTGTTCTTCTTCTTATTCCTATTCTTGTTCTAGACGGAACTGCTTCTTTGAAGTCTTTTCCGATCCAAGGATTTGTAAATTGGCATAATGATGTGAATGTACTGAGAGACAACAGACACCATAAAGAAAACACAGAAACATTAATTGACGCTAACAAGGGGGTTGGTCTAGAAACAAACACAGAGAAAACTAAGTACTCGTATGTGTCGCTGTCTCGTCACCAAAATAAAGGGCAAAATCATGACATAAGGATAGGTAACAGATGTTTCGAAAATGTGGCACAGTTCAGATATTTGGGAAGGACAGAAGCAAATCAAAATCTGATTTAGGAGGAACTTAAAAGGAAATTGAACTCGGGTAATGCTTGCTACCATTCAGTTCACAACCCTTCGTTTTCTCATCTGTCGTCTCGAAACAAAACTTAGAATACATAAAACCTACAATTTTGCCTGTCGTTCTGTATTAATATGAAACTTGGTCTCTGAGATTAAGAGAGGAAAGTAGACTGAGGGTGTCTGAGAATATAGTGTTGAGGAGAATATTTGGACCAAAGAGAGATGAAGTGACAGGAGGTTGGAGAAAACTGCATAATGAGAAGTTTCATAACTTGTACTCTTCTACAAATAAAATTAGAATAATCAAGTAAAGGAGGATGAGATGGGCAGGACATATAGCACGAATGGCTGACTCAGAAACAGATTCCTCCGAAACGTCTTTGGTACTTTATTTAGCAAAAATGTGCTATGCAGAAAAAAGCAACGGGTACCTTGATGTCATATGGTCGTGCCGTAATTCATAGAAGCCTGTCCATCCACTCAAGACACTCATACAGGCCGGCGAGAAGCAACTGATTACATACGAAAAGAATACAAGAAACTCCATAATCTGTATTCTTCACCAAAACTGATTGGCGCGATCAAAAGGAAAGTGGGATGGGTGGGGAACGTAACACAAATAGGTGACGTAATAGGTGCATGTGCCATTTTAGCCGGGAAATTAAGAGAAAGGCCTAAGGTGGAGACCTGGATGGATAATTTAATAGCGTAAAAGTAAAGTAAAGTAAAGTAAAGTAAAGTAAAGGACAGTAAAGTGAAGGCATCCCTGTAACAGGCCATGGAGTCCCATAGGTTTGTGAGACGTCGAGGCTTCCACATTTTCTAGACAACCGGCTCACAGATGGCTGTGAGCTTGTCAGCCTTAAGCGCCGGCCGCCCTTTACCCATCCCCAGGAAGATTCCTGGTACTTATTTCTGTTAGAGGCCGAGTCGACCCCAGGCCCATATTGTGGCTGGACGAATTAGGTAAACTGAAAAAATCCAACGACCTCACAGGGAATCGAACACGCGACTTTCCAGTTTGTAGCATAGTGCCTCAAACAGCTACGTATCTTACATAAATAATGTGTGAGGTACGGTATAGCTCCAGCTGGCTGAGAGTAGGGTCCAATGAGGGGCTGTCTTACAAGTTTGGCTGTTAATCACAATGTAATATCACATCATTTTTCTACTTACGAAATAAAATAACGTTAATTTATTTCAACAAAGCCCCATATTAAATCTTAACGAGTAGTCTCACGACGTATTGGATAGTCTGGCCAGCCAGAAACATTTTAACAATAAATATTTAATCTTAGATATGATTACACCCTTTGTATGTAAGGGCATTACATGCCACTAAAAATAATATTTCAATATGTAAACATCGGCCAATGTAGGAATACTAGCAGACGAATAGAGGTTGGATGTAAAAAGTCAAACACCTGATGATGGCATGAGCCGAAATATTTTGTAAGAAACGACGAATGTAAGGTGCGTCCATTGTGTGTATTGCAGCAACGGAATAAAATAAAGACATGACAGCGAAACTTTTTATTTGGACGCTTACTGTTAGTCAGATGCAAGTCTAATGTATTTCGTGACACAGTCCTGTTATTAATATGACATCAGTTGTCATTCTTTTGGAGTGCAGAAGTATTTAATATACTCTCGTACATGGTGACGATGATGGTCATAACAAAGACTGGAAACGTGCAATCTGTATCAATACAAACGCTCCACACGCGATCTTTGCACACTACTGCCATATGAACATGTATATACAATGCTGTTGATCTTTATGAAAACGGTTCTTCAACTCTTTTTAAGGAACACCAATATCAAAATTAAATCAAAATCCATCCATCGGTTGTCGAACAGATTATGTGGACAGACAACCACGATCTCCCGTATGCCTTCGATGCATTCATTTTGTACAAACTCATAATAATCGCAGTGGATATACACATGTACACGATAAGATATTGATTAGGTCTTTGTAGCTCTCGTTTCGGAGTTACCTAGACTAAGGTGTTAGTATCATGGATGTGTTAGCCATACCTGAATCTGCAGTACGAAGTGTGAAAGAAATCCACTGAGGGACGACACCTGGGCTTATCTGTACGTTGGTTGCAGGCAAGGGAATGAAAGCTCAACACCGGCATCCTACCTCGTCCACCACTGGCAAGTGATTCGACTGTTAGCTGTGACGAGGAGTGGCAGGATCGATACACGGTCGAGACACGCTACCGCTTTTCTACTGGACGCCATTTCCAGTCAAGGATAATTTACAAATTTCTTAAAGTAAAAACTCGAATCTAATTTATTATTTAAGTCAAAAAATAATAAAGTTAAATAAAAATAAATGAACAGAATAAGGCAAGAGGAACGATGGACAGAAATATAAAAGGAAAAAGGAAAGAGGAAAGTTACTGGATAAGAAAAGAAACAAACGTGAAGAAAACATAAGGAAGACAAAAATTAGAAAAAAGGATAAATTAAGAGAGACTTGAATGCAATGAAAGAAAACAGAAAAAGGNAAGGAACAAATTAAAAAAAAATCAGAGAATAAAAGAACTGAAGGAAAATAAAAAATAAAAATATAAAATGGAACTTGATGTATAGAGATGACTAGGAAGAAAGACGATAAAGTACAAAAAGTGTGAACGAATTAAGCTGGCACTAGAGTAAGCGGTCAGTTTTAGGCTCCGGCCGCTTTACTCCCGGGGAAAGAACCCCCGCTACCCATTGGATAGGCGGTTCGGTGGACCCCAGAGAACATCTTGACGACGTGGAAAAGAGAAAATTCTTAACTCTACCGAGACTCGAACTCCAATCCCTCGGTCGTCCAGCCCGTAGACAGTCGCTATACCAGCTCCAGTTCTCAAGAGACAAGAAATTAATACATAATACAAGGTGGGGGGGGAGACCTCACAGAAAGCAGTCACATTGTAAAGGAGGCAGGTGAGAGGATCTCATTAAGACTGATGTTAAAGACAAGGGTTGTTCAGTTGGTTGGAACTAGCTGAGTATCTATCCAACAGGAAGCTCTTCTGTAACTCGTGCTCGACCTCCGGATTATATTAACGTAGGGTCGATCAATACTTTGCGAATTTCCCTTTAAAACAAGCCTACATTTTAAATGTTATAAAACTTGTGGACATAATCTGATAGGCTGGCACTACTGCTACACTTGTAATCATCAAAACAGAAGTACAGTCTCACAAAAAATCCTTTGGACACGTTCATAATACATTTTTACTAACACGTTTCATTATGTAACTGCAATATTTCATCAGTTATCGCCAAGAAATATGAAAGTAAATATATTTTTACGGCCACTAATTGTTATGTAGATCCTGTTTAATAACACTATTCTTAAGAGATGTTCTGTATTTTCAGAACCTAATCAGCACGCACGACATAATAAGAGCGCTCTGTAAACGAAGTTTATAGATATTTTCCTCGACAGCATACTGTCACGGTAGTTGTGGAATGTATGACGATTCACAGCGGCCGGTCCTTTATATACAAGTACAAGTTTCAACCGATGTGTTTTCATTCAAGAGGGCCAGGTTTAGTCCTGTGACAACCACAGTTTTGATAGCGTTTTTGCGACCGAACTCAATGTCATATACCGGAATCTTTTGTTGATTCGATACCAACCTCGGAGATTGTACCTCTATAGCGTACGCTCGCTAATTTTCTTGCAGTGTCTGGGCGAGTACGCGTCAGGACATGTCATTCTGAAGATATCCTTCCAAATGTTACAATGTCTGAAGGCGGAGATCTCAGTTGTCTTCTTGCTGGTTGCCAGAGAGGACACGACAACAACACGGATGCAGCCGCTAAAGGAGCCGCGTATTCAACAGGAGACGGAGCCGCAAGGCTCCCTATGTTCCTCGTACCGTTCTGTAGCCATGGCAACACAAATGGACCCATACAGAGGGCAACAAGTTAGGAGTAGGGGAATCATCTATGCTTTCGGATGGGTCTTCAAGTCCATGGCGTGCCTACACCTGTTCCGCACCCTGATGTGTTGACCTCGTTATGAGGGGATGCCCTGTACATTTCGTCTTCGTGTCACGTGGAACAATGTCCGTAAAGATGACCATTGCAGAGTGTCTTTAGTACAGTATAGTATGAAACTGAAAAATCATTGGGAAGGGTCCAAGGGGGCTGTAGAGCCAGTAAAAAAAAACTATAACTTTTCACCAAATCAATGAAGAAAATGCAACGAAATTTGGGGCCTATCGCAATTTTCATACCAGGAAAAGCGAGTATCTTTGTTCAAACAATTCTACTGCGTGTCTTAATAAATGAAATTGAACAGAAATAAGTGCACCGTCGGCTGAAACGATTGACGAGAATAGAAGAAGTGCTATACCAAGAACGAAGGTGAGTAGAAACAGAGCAGGAAATATAGCAAAAGGAAGATGAGTCGTCACTCACAGCGGTCCTAAGGCGCAGGATGAAGTCACTACCTTAATGGGCGTAACCTGTGAAGTCTCCCCGAACAAGTGGCTGTGCCCCTACCCTAAATGATGACAGATGCTTTATGGACATCAGTAGATAGTGTGTAACAAGAAGGGTCACTGCTCTTGTAGGAAAGATGGAAGAAAATATTAAAGGAAGAAGAAAAAGAAGGGAAAACCAAGAGGGAATACAACGTACAGATTAAGGAGAGACCAGATAATTAAAGGGAAGAAGGAAGATAAATTTAAATAATGGGTAATTTAATAATATTAATTGCAACAAATGAATGTTAATCCCAAAGTGATTAGAGACGAAATGGATAGGGTAATGAGACAGAGAAAACTGGATTAAAATAAAGTGTAGGAGTTTAATACATATCATGATGATTGATTTTAGGCTCCCAAGGTGATTTGATGATGATGTTGGTTCTCCTCTTGGGTGTTTGTACTCTATGGATGTGAGCAGTGCTCCGATGTTTGGAAATGTATTCTGATCAGTGATTGAATTTTATTGGTTTTAATATTCATTTATGGCTTACTTAACGATGTTGATATCAGCTCAATTTGTATAGTGGCTAACAGATAATGAAGAGAAAGAAACATGTCATTGTCTAATTCGAGGAAATATCTACGCATGCGCATGGAGTCTGGGTGGAGATCGCTGGAAACCTAACCATATTCATTCATTCATTCATTTATTTTAAAATTCCATGAATCCTCTCTGGTCACAATGTGGCTAGGATGTAGAACATGTCAGATTACTACATGTACTGCAATAACTAATGACAGTACCGTTCGGTACAAGAAGTAAAGAAACTTGTCATATACGTTTATTTAATTATAAATACATATTAAATCCATATTTATTTCATTTGACTGGAGCCGGTCATAATGAGAGAGGTCTGTATGCATGTCTGCAGTCGCCTCGACTACCTCGCGGAGCAGTACTCGGACAGTTCGCTGACTGTGCAGCCTTTGAACACACAACATTCCTCAACAATACCGGCGCTCCTCCTCTGGCGGCGGAAGTTTCTGTTTGTGAACTGGTTAGCCATCCACCGTGGCCGGAATGGGAACACCTCTTCTGCATCTCCCGTTTGGAACCACGGGCTGCCGTCCGTGTCTGAAATAAAATATGGCGAAGTTTTTGATGATGAAATATTAAATTCCTTGAGACAGTCTCAGGTCCCTTCCACTAGACACTTCATTTGGAGACATCAGTAATTTGAATAATAATAGAGTTACTGTCGAGAAACAGGTCCTGACATCTGTGCAACTGTGTACGGTTCCCTAGGAAAACTGACATGTACTTACGAACAATAGATCACTGTGGTCGGGGTCCAAGGGCCATGAAGGCCCACCCATTGTACATTCATTCATTCATACGTTGTATGTTGCAAAACAAGGTCTGCCTAGAAGATATGCGGGAAATAGACCCATCCAGCATCCAAGCACTTTTGTATGCGAGTCTGCAAATTGGCGAAGACATCTGGTAACGTGACATCAGTAAAGGCAGTAACCTCCCGCCGTATCACGTCTTTGAGGGTGTCAGTTGTTCGGCTGCTTATTGCTGTATACACAGCCCTTCACTAAACCCAACAAGAAGAAATCAGGTGGCGCCAGGTCTGGTGTGCTTGGCGGCCACAGATTCTTCCAAATTAATTGGTCACTGAAATAACATTGAGTTTCCCTCATCCTTGCATTAGATGTAAGGCACGTTGCGCCATCTTGTTGTAAGTAACTTTCCGTTAATTCGTCATCTCTTAACTGATACATAAGTTCACCACTGAGTATATTCACGTACTCCTCCGTGGTAACAATTTGATTGGGAATATGCGACCGATTGTTGGTCTACGGGACAAGGCACGCCACACTCTGATTCTCTTAGAATGTAAAGGCTCCGTATGCATTTCATGTGGGGAGTTCTTCTGCCCGTACACGCGTCTTTTGCGAGTTTATGTAGCCACTTAGATGAAACCGGGCTTTGTCCGTAAACCACATAATGTCCAAAATCCCCGGATATTCCAAAACTAAACGTTGGAATCATAACAATATCGTACACGTTTCTCCAAACCCGTTGCAAGCAACTCTTGGACTATGGACACAGAATATGGGTGCAGTTTGCAACTCTTGGACTATGGACACAGAATATGGGTGCAGTTTGCAACTCTTGGACTATGGACACAGAATATGGGTGCAGTTTCGCTTTTTGGCAGCTCCTTAACACGTGGAATAAGGAATGCAGGTTTCTTGCGAAAGTCTTCTTAATGAATTTCTTGTTGATATCAATAATCGATCCTTCACATCCTGCACCGTGAGATCACACATCTTCCGGCCTCCTGCGTGTTAAGTGAAAACATTTCCAGTTGTCTCTAATCTTTTCACCAGTTTCTGAGTACAGGATTTTGTCGGTACACTTCCTTCACCATACTTTTTTTTCCGAAATGCCCTTTGACATTGTTTAAATGAACCCGTTCGCCAGTATTCACGAACAATAAACACACGCTGTTCAGCTGAGTGCATGTTTGCGGCACATGCAATCACTGTACACTGAGTCAAACGCATGTTTGGCGGTCGCGTCTCGACGTCATGGATATGGTCCACTTCGTTGAGGGGTATGATGGTTCCGTTTCGATAGACGTAAGCGTCCTCCGTGTCAATTTTCATAGAGAACTACACAAAAAATTAAAAATTTACTGACGAATGTTTGGGTTTCCTAGAGAGAGAATCACACCATATATACATACATACTGTGACGTATCGACCCAATGCTAGGCAACGGCTCGATAAACACGTTCCCACGGAGACAGATTCTTGGTAAACAGCCCGTTGCTGGGTAATTCGTACAACAATACGCTACAATAAAAGACATCCAGTGTTGAGTAAAGAACCGATAAACACGCGGCTGTGACAATACGCGACAAGAATGAAAGGTGTTTTATGTCCGCGCAGGGACTGTTTGCTAGGCAACTGCGTGGTAACACACCTCTACAACAATAGAGGGACTGTGTTTTCTGTGCTGCTTGGTCCGTACCGAGGAAAGAGAGTTGAATTCCGAAGCTAGCAACTGTAGGAGTACCGTTAAAGATGTAATAAAAGTTAAAACTTAAAGTTATCCCTGTGCTTAACTAATTAAGCACTACACCATGAAGGCGTATGGGGTAGCGGATGCATAAATCCATATTTTCTTGACCTCGGCACTAGTTGGAAGTGAGTGGTTAGACTCACGCCCCTGTCACTTTACCCCCGTGGAAAGAGTCCCCGGTACCCATTGTATAGGAGATTGGGTGGACTTCAGAGCAGGTCTGGACGACGTGGAGAAGACAAAATTCTTGACACTACCGGGACTCGAACTCCGACTCCTCGTTCGTCCAGCCCGTAGCCAGTTGCAATACCGACTGAGCTATCCCGGCTCCTATGTCATTACGGTACGTGATAATAACGTCACTGCTACTGTGTTTCATTTCTCGCGTGGCTTCATATGAATTCTACGTATTAAATGTTCAGCAGAAACCTGCTCTTCGCCTGTACAGCTATAAGCAAGGGATAGCCTGAGGGCTTACGTGGTTATTCTCAAGCACTCCAAACAAACGCGGGGATAAGAGAACCTAAGATTATGGCAATTTCCTTTCCAATTCAGTAGTCCCTTACCATAAAGCCATTCGACACTACATAGCTAGTAAGCGACATTAAACAAACTATAAATAAAAATAAATTGCGGTTATTTTTTACCCTGTGCCTTGTTCATTTCAGTGGAGCCTGAATTTCTTTTCCAGTGCTCGTCAGTGTGATACGAGCCGTTGCAGATAAACCGCAGGACGTTGGCGAGGTTGGGACCGCAGTACCTGTAGGCTGCCTCTCTCTTGCGCATGCCCAGCTGGCTCTCAGGCAATGCCCACGAACAGATCATCGCGAAAACAGTTACCCGTAGAAAGATATTCCTCATCTGAAACAAAGATGCATCTCAGTCTACAATGAAAGTGTAACAATGTGTGTGATGTTATAGTAACACAGGGTGCCAATAGAGCGCTGCATGAGCTGGCTGCAGGTAGTATTACTTCAGCTGGTGGGTGGATGCGCCAGCAGCAGTCTCCCTGGTGTCAGTTGTCATTTTAACGAAATAGGTTTATTAAACAAAGAGCTTTCGAAATCTGTATTTTGTACATTTTTCCATATCTGACTACACGATTGGGCTATAAGTACGCGAAACGGAACCCCAAGTAGAGCAACTATTTCAGCCGTAACCTGCATTAAACGGAAATCCGACTTTATCAGGAAACTTATCTGGTGCCGAGAGAAGGACCGACGTAAAATTACGCAGTAAAAGGGAACTATCTAACGGGAACGAACGGCCTGATTGGGCATTCATGATCTTCCTCAATTCTTTGGAGAAAATCCTGAGACAGTAACTTAAAATAGACCACGGTCGCTTCCTCGCAAATCATTTCCATTTCAGATGTAGCATGGCCCATTAACTAATCCAGGAATCAGTCAGTCAGTCAGTAAAATCCCTTTAAATTATTACAAGTAGGCTTTCATAGGTTCGTTAATTAAAAACAAATCCTTGGTCAAAATTTCTTAGAACTGCTGTGATTTAGGGACGTGTCTTAGGGGCATACTGAAATCTGCCAGTGCTCCTTATATTGCTGTCAGTGTTTATTGTAATTTTAATTAATTAATTAATTAATTTGCATAGTGGGGGGGTGGAGTCCAGTTAGTCCACTCGGCACGGCGCCCACTGATTGGCCTATTGTACCTCCCCGGGTGATTATGATGACGGAGAATTTGATGGAATAAAGATTGGTAGGGGAAACCGAAGTACTGGGAGAAAACTTGCCCCAGCGCCACTTTGTCCACCACAAATCCCACTTGACCAGACCTGGGTTCGAACCCGGGCAGCCGCGGTGGGAAGCCAGCGACTAACCTCTTGAGCTATGGCGCGGCGCAGTGGGTATTGTAAAAGAACGGAACGATAAGAACTCGGTGTATTTTCGAAACTGTTACAGATAGAAACACGAAACCGCTTGAAAGCGGCAAGGAAACTCATCAGACTTTCGTTGGTAGCATTGATTGTAACATATCAGATACAAATAGCTCTCCGACCACTATTAAAGGAACACACCCCCTCAAGCACAAGAGGGAGCGATATTGCTTGTGGCTTCACGAGACGAGCTCGGCGAACATAGGTCGCCGTTGCTTGGCAACGACGTGTAGTATCGAAAAGCCTAAAGCCAGCTCAGTCACAGGTTGGTGTAGGAAATTTGTGAACGAGTGGTTTGTCTGTAAGAGTAAATGCAGTGGCCGGGTTCGTTAAGCTTTCTTGAGAATCCTGCGGAAGTCCCGCACGATCCAATAGGGAAATTCATGTCCCACGTCCTACAGTATGGGAAAAGCTGAGGGTGAAACTGCGGTTTAAGCCATATCATCTCCATTTTGTACAGCAACTGTCTGATGATGACAAGATGAGACGGGAATAGTTCTGTAAAGACATCTGAAATTGATAAGACATTTGGTGACTACTGCTTTTGCCGTGATGAATTCGCCTTTCATCTTTCTGGAAAAATGAACAAGAAGAATGTTCGCGTCTGGGGAACTAAGTTTCCGAATTTCACAGTGCAAGTTATCTGCGATTATCCAAAAGTCATTGTGTTCTGTGTCACGTAAAATATAAAAGTGTATGTATGACCCTTCTTTGCAGAAGCTACTGTTACTTATACAACTTATCTAAACACTCTGGAACAGTGGTTATAACTCCAGTTAAAGGAACAATCTCGGTGTAACTCCGTGGCAAATAGGCAGAGCTCCGTACTATTTCCGTGTGGCTATGAGGACAAAACCTTGGATACGATGCGCAGGACCCCTTACTTGGCTCCATTGCAAGTTAGTTGCCCGTATTCGAAAATACGTCATAGAATGGGCTCTTCTAGTTAACGTGTGTATCTTGTGTCTCGTGTTTTGGTTTGCTGAAATAAAATATTTCAACTGTGGTCAAATTAATTTCCTCCTTTATTTGACATGAGATTTCGAGAATAAATTTTACGCATCCATATTCAGAATATGCCCTGCTTAGCTACATTTTGTTATATTGTGTCTGATGGCCTGCAAGTGCCCCTGATATCGTGTCATGAGAGCTCTTCATGTCTGTCCAGCGCTGTTTTATAGGCAGTTTTGGTATGGCAGAGAGCAGATGCGGCCACTGTTTGCTTCAGGGCTCAAAACATGTTCTATGGTACTGAAGGTTTTGAACATTTTCATATTAGTGTTGTGAAATAGGTAGGCGAGGGTTCTACCTTCTTTCGGAAGCATGGGAATGTCTCCCATTTTTGTTTCTATTATCGTTTGGATTGACATCTCTCTTACGCTCACATTTTATTTTAATTTCTTAACATTGTCAATTTGGTGATGTATCCTGTGCCAGATATTATCTACTGAGCCATTCTACATACTCCTGATCTGTATAGCTTCGCTAGTATTATTGCTCGCTTGCCTGATGCTTGTTCTTGTAAAACCGAAACATGTAGTGGAATAAATCTTAATGAAGTTAATTATTAATATTACCTTTGTCAAGAATTTTCTCTTCTCCGCGTCGTTCAGACCGGCTCTGAAGTCCACCCAACCTCCTTTCCAGTAGGTAACGGGGGTTCTCCTCCGGGAAGTAAAGCGGCCGAGGCGTGAAGCTGACCACTCACCTCCAACTAGTGCCGAGGTCATGAAAATGTGGATCTATACATCCACTCATCCATACACCTTCATGGCGTAGTGCTTAATTACTTAACGACAGGGACAACATGAACTTGCCTTTTACCATCTTTGTTTCTTACGACGAACACGTACCTTGAAATCTTGTCATATCTACAGAAACAGGACTCAACTCATGAAAAAAAAATATGTATGAAAATTTTACGAACTGAAGGGTGATATTAATGAAGAAAATGGCAAGAGTGGGAAAGAGACATGCTAAATACTTCAGAAATATTTGTGTGGATTAGAATTACTGTATTTTTAATAACTTCGCAAAGGAGGAACATCATATGCACTTTTCTCAGGAGATTTTTGTTTCCCGAATACTGCCATCCCATATGCATGTAGCGATTGCATCGTAGATGCCATTCATATTGCGTCTTAACCTGCCGGTAATCGAACCCCGATTTGTTGACCATCCAGGCAGCAACCTAGTCTTAATATCAACTGGGATATTGCAACTATATTTTATCCCTGCTTTATGGAGAAATATAAGATTCGTGCCAGCACAGACCTACTTACTTTGTAGTTTTTTCGTTGTTTATTAAAGGCATTTAACTATTCAAATAAGAAAATAATTGTGAATGGTGAATTGGAAAGACCTGATAATCGTCTATGTTAAAGTACTATCCCAGAATTTTATCGGAGGTAATGTAAGTAGTCAAGGATTGTCTCAGTCATTACAGTTCGTCTTCTATCCGAGAATCGAATCGGAGACCTAACGAATACGATGCAACAGTGATGTCCAGTCGCCGCGAAGTTTGACGAACGCGTTTTCGATATTAGTTACACTGCACTAAACTTACTTTGGAGAATGTCGACTCGAACTATGAAATCCGAATTCTGATTCGGTGAAACTTACCCTTGGTGTTCCTGCAGAAGGGTCCTTTCGACTACTGCTGCAAGAGGTGGACTGTCGCTGCGTTATATAGGACGCTTTTCCGGCGCCATCTTTCAACTGCAATCTTACTCCTTTCTTTTCGCACTATTAAGCAGTCCTCTAGGAATGGACATAACTTGTTCCGACGGGCGGCGGCGTGCTGAGCAACTCTCCTGCCTTTCTTCGAATTTTAATTTTTCTAAAATTGCAGCTGCTAATAATAGAAATGCCATCGAGGTGCCTTCAAGCACCAGTCACTTCCAATTTAACACTTTGAAGACTCGAATACTTCTTCATAGCTTACGAACATTACGAACTCTGTGGAGTGGAGTCCTTCTTGGGAAGCCTCTTAACTGCTGATATGTCTTGTCCCTAATTCATGATGCTTGAGTCCATTTTCATAACCTCTGGTTCCGCGCTACCCGTGTTCTATCTGACCGCATACTCTGGCACTGAGTCCATCTCATATTTTTCTACTTCTCTCGGAACTGTTGTCAATGAACCTGTCTTAATCCGTCCAAGTCCGAGGTCCTCTGTAATATTTCGTAACAAAATTATATATGTAGGTAAGATCTGTTAGCCCCACACCTAACTTCCAAGCTGGAGGACCACACCTTGTCGGCTGTCCGCGACTGCTTAGTCAGTATATTCGCAGCTACCCTCCATATCTGGAGGTCGTCTCCTCCATCCGCAACCTGAGGACGCGCCATGCTACGGTGACAAGGGACCCACCTAACGCGTACTTCTTCTAAATAATATATAAAATTCAGTGCTATGTTCTGTGATATAACACGGGAGCTGTTTTTCTCTATATTGCTGGCCTTGCCAGTGCAGTCTTTCTCGGTTCCGAGTCCCTTGAGACTCGCGACCATATTTTACTGTCTCAGATTTGAGACTTCCCTTTTCGTCGTCTCCTACGACTCGCAGGGTCACGGTAGAGGTATTCGACCCCGCCTCCACACGGGAACTCTCTCTTTCTCTGATGCTCGGCTGGTGTCCTCGTTATATAACCTAGGGACGGACCGAACAGAAATACCGCCTCCAACAATCCTTCTACTGTTGTCATGGACGGTTGACTAGCAATAGTCTGAATAGCGTTTCCTCGAGAACTGTTTACCGACCGTTACCGAGCAACGTATGTGCCTCCTTCCGATCTTTGCATAGCAACGATACTACACCGTACAATTAATATGTTTCTTGGAGAGAGAGAGAGACAAATTACATGCGCATATAAAATAATCACGCAAATTCTTATATTGTAATCATTAAATATCTGGAATATAGACGGGAAACTCAATGGGGAATGTTAGTCCCAGCAGGGAGAAAGCAACAGGTCGGATATTATTTCATAACGAGGAGCTTCATTTTGTATTCTTCGCATAGCAATATTAGTGCCACTAAATGAGAATAGTGAGGTGGGTTGGACATGTAGAACGCAAGGAGAATCGAACTCGTACGAAATTTATGTGAAAGAACTTAAAGGGAAGAAATCCCTTTAGAAACTTAGACTCTGACAGTATGGTAATATGAAAAAGATTTTAGAGGCACAGTGAGGAGATATGGTCTGGACTGCACTGGTGCCGGACAGCATCCAATGGTAGGCCACTATGAACATTGCAATGGTCCTACGGTTTCATTAAATGCAGAGAAAGAGGCCTACTTGACCATCTCAGAAAATATAAAATTTCAACGAAATTCCCGTTAGTCACAATTTTCAGTACTTATTTCTACTTTGTTAAGCAGCCGGGATAGCGCAGTCGGTATAGCGACTGGCTACGGGCAGGACGACCGACGGGCCGGAGTTCGAGTCCCGGTAAGGTCAAGAATTTTCTCTTCTCCACGTCGCCGGACCGGCTCTGGGATTCACACAACCTCCTGGCCAGTGGTTACTAGGGGTGAAGCGGCAGTGGCTAAAGCTCACCTCCAGTTGGTGCCGAGGTCTACAAAATGTGGATCTATCCATCCACTCCCCCATACGCCTTCATGGCGCAGTGCTTAGTTAAGCACAGGGACAATTTTACGTTTTAACTTTTACTACATTACTTCTTTTGGCTTGTTTTGGACTTCATCCATTGTCTGGTATGTAAAAGACAAAAGACCACGACGTTTCGGAGACAGATCCAGTCTCCGAAACGTCGTGGTCTTTCGTCTTTTACATACCAGACGATGGATGAAGTCCAAAACAAGCCAAAAGAAGTACATTTCCAGTGATGTTTTATTGCAAACNTATTACATTGTTAACGGTCCAAAATCATGACCGTTTTTTGATACGTGTTGTTGTGTTCGTACAAGATGTCGATGTTCATGGTCAAATAGACTTCCCCACTAAAAGTTACATTGCGCTTTCAGGTTTCCTGGCTCGACTCATGAAGAGCTGAACACTTACCTACCCCGAAGGACAATCCCACTTTCTATCCCAGCGTTTGTCATGTTACAGAAGTGCACTGTTTGGAAATGCAACGTGTTTATTCATGAAGAAGACGACCCGTTCTAAAGAAGCGAGCTGGCTGTTATAAACGTTAAAATGTTTTTGCAATGTGGGATGTGAGGTTCTCATGGCGCTGACAATGAAGATTACTGTCTCATGAGACGTTACTTCGTGTAGCCTTGTAGATGTTTACCGACGTTTCGGAGAATCGTGTTGTTACCATATTCCGGGGGCAAGAGGTGGAGGCGGCACATTTTTCGCGAGATTTCGTAAACATCTGTCAGTATTCTTCTACCCTGAAGATAGAGGCAGAACATTCCACAAAAACGTAGGTAAACACCTACAAAACTAGACGGCGTCACATTATCAAGCACAGTACTTTGTGTCTGTAATGTTGAGCAACTCAGGGTGGCACAATGACGACATGAAGAACAGTGGATTCATTTTTCATGACCTTAATTTCAAGGGCAAGCCGTACGTACAGGTGTGCAGGCCTACTCGTCTTCCCGCTCGTGGCGAGTGCAAAATAATGACCTGAGAGTGAAGTACTGTTTGGATTCGTTAGTTCATCTATTCATATGTGATATCTCCACGAAAGTCAGACAGAAAATGACATTCTGCGTACATTCTATACAACACAATGGATAGGATTTTGTCTGTAATAATAATAATAGGCCAATTACAGACAGAACACAGTGTAGATACAAGTAATTACATTATGGGCGAACATAACATAAAGTCAAAGACAAATTGCAGGCAAGAACTGGAGGAAAAACACATTAATACAAACATTTAAACAAACAACAATAATAATATTAATTTCATTAACATAAATCAATTATGCAGCCAAGTAAACAAATAATAACAACAATAATAATAATAATAATAATAATAATAATAATAATAATAATAATAATATCATTAACATAAATATAAGTTGTTATGAGTTCTGAGAAATGAAACGTATAAATATTTTATTGAGAAATGAAAAGTATAGATTTTCAGAGAGGATAATAATAATAATTCAGTTTAATTGTTGTTTATTGTA